TCCAGGGCTGTAACCTGGGCTTTTTGCTCCATGTGTCCTTGGTGCCAAGCTGCCAGAGGCGCTGCCCAGGCCGGGGAGGAGAGAAGCCAAGAGCCCAAGGAACCAGGACCCCCCTTTCCTGGCACATCGTATTTCTCCTACTAGCTCAGCAGCAGAGCCCTCTCCTCCCGGTGATGCTGCACCAGCCCGGTCCAGCCCCCCCTTCTCCAAGCCTCGGAAGCTGCCACCTGGCACCAGAAGCCAGGCCCAGGCCGGGCGCCCGTCTCCTCGGGCCCAGCTCCGCTGGCAGGGACAATGGGTGGCGTGTTGGGCCCTATTGACACGGGGCCGTGGTGCTGGTCCGTACCTGGCTGCCGGTCGGTGGGCAGGACACTGGGCCGGGGCTGTTTGCATTAGCGACGCTCCAGGGGCTGGGCACAGAGCACCCGCAGTGCGCTGGGGTTCCCACCCGCACCGTCTGTGTAGGAGCCAGGCTGGACTGCCTGCCAGTGACCGAGGCTCTGTGCCCTCGGGCGGCAGAATGGGGCGGGGGGGGGGGGGGACGGGGACCCGCCAGGGAGGTGATTGCATCTGTTTGGATTAATCAGCTAAACTGTGAAGCAAACAGGGCTGCTTCCCCATCCCCACGGCCTGCCAGCCCATCCTCCCTAGCCAGCTGTTGGGGGTGTGGGGCAGGTGGAGGTGGGCTGGGGAGGGTCAGTGATTGGGGGGGGGTTTGTCCCGGGGTAGAAGCAGGGGTTGCAGGGAGGCTGGGGGCAGGGGGTTAGGCTGCTCACTGAGTGGCAGGCACGCTATAGGGTCAGCTATTGGGAAGGGGGGGTGCACACTTTGGGGGCTGCGGAGGGCTGGGCAGTGCCTGGGGGAGGGGGCAGGACAGGGACTAGCCAAGCGGCTGGGAAAGGCCCTTGTTGCTGGAAGCGGGTTACACCAGATGGGTGCCCCTCCATGCCAGGAACACACCATGGCTTTGTGCTTTGTTGAAAGCTTGTGTCCCTGACATATCTGGGGTGCATTGCGTCATACACCAAGAAGTGCTCTGCGCTAAACCTGACAAGGGAGACAGACCGAAAGCTGTAATAGACAACGTGGTGCAGATTGTTCACTTGATACACGCTCGTCCCCTGTGTCACCGTCCGGGTGGGGAACGTGTGCACCAAATTGAAACAGAAGATGGAGACCTCGTCACGCTCACTGAAGTGCGGTGGTTACGCCGTGGTAAAGTCCTGGGCCGTTTCCTGGCACTGCCACCAGAAATCCAGCAGGTTCTTGCTCAGAAATCTCAAAGATACCCAGAGTTAGAAGATGAAAAATGGATTTTGGATGTGGCTTTTCTCGTCGGCATTACTGGTCAACTGAACACGTTGAACGAGTCGTTGCAGAGGGGAAAAAATCACCTCTTGCCCACACTAATTGTAGGGTCTGAAAATTCATGCTACACCTGCAGTTAATGTCAACTCAGTTACCTCCATGTGACGACACTCACTGCCCGCATTTGAAAAAATGCTGGACAAACACTGATCAAGGAACTGAATCTGATCCGTCAGTTCACAGACAAGTGCTGGCTACGCTGGCAGAGCGTTTCGAGAACTGCTTTTCTTCTCGGAGAGCTCTGAAGCCCTGCCTCTCAGCACTCTCACATCCATTTGTGTTTGATCTGAACAAATGTGGAGTAGCATGGTAGAGCTCTGGGGGTGATAAAAGGAAGTTTGAGGAGGAATTAATTCATGTCTGGGCCTTGGATGAAGATTAAATTAACCAGCTAAAGAGGAAAGGTTTACAAGAACGGTGGTTGAATACCCCTGGTCTAGTTCTCCGGCACAGCATTGCTAGGGTTACCATATTTTGTGCCTCCAAATGGAGGACACTCCACGGCCCCAGCCCCACCCACACCCCCCGCCCAACC